AAAATTGTGTGCACATTAGGGTTCGTAAATTAATATTTAATTCAGAAAAAATATAAAAGTCAGAGGAATCACTATTGATAAAAGCTGGATTTGAAATATAAAAATATGTTTGATTGAATGTAGAAATTGAGAGCGGGTGAAAGTAAATTATCAGAAATACGTTCAAATTTCCTGAAACTGATTTTGTTGATTTGATTCTGGCTTCCCAATAATTCATCAGACCTTGATAACATCTTTGATTTTTCATCCCTTTCGCTATCAATTTGCACCAATATGCATAAAATCTTCATTTTATTTTGCCAAAGGATTCTAAATACTATATATCGAGAGTGTTGATTATGGAATACCGTATATATAAACACTTAAAATATATATCTTATTTTTATATTCATTGTTCAACCCATTGATGCAGAATTTTATTAAATATATTTTAGCAACTTTTTTTAGTATTTTGTATTAATTTAGATCAAAATAAGTGAAAAATATTATATTTAGAATTTTAATAATTAATGTTCATGAAATACAGAATAAAACACCGGTGTCTCTTTCTGCGTTAAAGGTAAAATCTTTAAAACACAACTTACTTAAAACCGAAATTTTTCAAATACATATTTATTAACAGTAATTTAAATCTAAGAGAAACAGTTATTCATCATTAAAATTTCTTTAATTTAAGAAATAAATTATTGATAAATTTTTGAATAGGAATGAAAAAAAAAATTTTCGAACTGCTTATTTTTTTCATTTTATATTTTAGCACAAATATAATTCCGATAATCTAACAGATTTATTCTTCAGTTACTATTAAACTGCTTTTTAAAATTGAAAATTATACTGAAATTTATTTTTACTTGTAATTAAATCAGCGGTTCTGAATTTTTTTTACTACGGAATCCTAAATAATCAGCCATCTTTCGGTGTAACCCCAACTTCATAAATAAAGTTTATTGGAGTAATTCTGAACGTTATAGCCTATAAAAGACTATTTTTAAAATATATTTAATTATAGGAATGAAAATGTTTTATTGTTTATCATTAATAATCTTAGATTAGGTTTTATGCCCGACAGTGAAATGTGTCTTCGTGCTATGCATTGTCTAGTTATGAATTTGCTTTTGGTGCATATGCTACGGCCAAAGCCCGAAGTCCGGCCACTTCGCGAATTGTCCGGTCATTTCGTACTTTGGCCATACCTCTCGGCCAAAGTGCGATGTAATTGAAACGATCAGTGAATATTCTACTTTGGCCGGCCATTTCGCGAAGTTGCCACGATGTTCCGGCCAAAACGCGATGTCTTTTGTATTTCTAATAACTTTTACTTCACAGAAAAAAAATTTTAGTGGTATGTTTTTTCACATACCGGGTGGTACGGTGGGACCACAATTTTTTAATATTTGTTTTATTAAAAAGTTAATTTGCTAATATTGCCCCTTTTGTTTTCTTTTCTAATTTAAAAATATAAATCTTCTAATTTTAAAATATAAATCTTCTAATTTAAAAATATAAGAAATAGACAAATTTTTAAGTTCAAATATAAAAAATTTAATTTGTTACTTTGTCTCAAATGGCCACATCCCACAGCAGTTAGCTGCGAGTACCACAGCTAGTAATTTTTAAAGAATGAAGCTATGTTTATACAGAGCCAATAATGCGTGCCAATAATTTTTTCTTCCAATTTTGGCTGATCCTCCCATGCCACTTCGCGATCTGACCGGCCAATTCCCGAAATCAAGAAAAGATCGGACATTGGCCAGTCAATTTACAGTGTTTTTAGCCATTTTGCAATTTGGCTGACCAACTCGCGAAGTGGCTGAATTCGGGCTTTGGGCGTAGCATACACTCTATAACAAAAAAAATCGACGCACCAAGAAGCAATCATCCGATTGCTTTGAAATTTCGTATGCATGAATGTTTTGAACAGATCAGGCTGGAATGATGCCGACTGAGGACGTATAGTCTTTAGTGACGAATCTCGCTTCCAACTGTGTCCTGGCGATGATCGAGGACGTGTTTGGAGACGCACAGAGCAGAGGGGGGATCCTGCCTTCACTATTGCAAGCCACACCGGCCCTCAACAAGGCATTATGGTCTGGGGGGCCAATTCCTTTGACAACAGTATCCCTTAGATCAGTGTTTCCCAACGTGGGGCCCACGCCCCACAGGGGGGCAATTTGATTGTTAAGGAATGGACTCGACACGAGTTTAACCCTTTTGCTCCGGGCCATTTAAATGCAATGCTAAATTTCGTTGACAAAATTAAAAGAAAATTCTTAAATAATTGTGGCCAATAAATATTATAAATTCGTTTGACAAGACCACAATATCAACTGGATTTTTGGCTTCGTCAAGTTAACCTCCATGCGGCAGACGGCAGTCTCCGTGTGGACCCCCGGACGCTTTAAAATCTCGCCAAACAGCGCAGTTGTTTGCATCTGAATAGCCCGTTGCCACTTCTGTAGTGTTTCGCATCATTTAGTGTTAGAAAGCAATACGCCGTGTGAGCTATAAGCATCTCCCTTTATTTATCGATTACAAAAGCCAGGGTGCGTAGCCAAATCTTTGAATCAAAAATAAGCACTTTTTGAAAACTTTTCAAGCACTTTACAAAAATTTTCAAGCACTCAAAAAATTCATATTCAATCAATGATATTATTGAAAAACAAAAACTTTTTATAAACAGTTTTAGTGTTAAAAAAAACAACAAAATATCGAAACAATCAGTACTTTCCCTCATCACCGAGTGAATTCAGCTTGACCCTTACCCCCTACGTCAAAAAAAGAGTTAGAAGTAAAATAAAATAATCAAGAACAAAATTAAAATAAATTAAAAAGAAAAACATTTCACAAGGATCCGATATTCTCTATCCGAATTGGAGCACTCTGGTTTCGGTTTCAAGTGTGCACGCATGCGCAAGTCATAACGTGGATACGACATGAAGTTCGCGTGAATGATTACGCAGTAAACTCCCCATTTTTCGTGAAATGCATGGGTTCCACCAGATATCACTGAAGGGAAAAAAAATTATTCGGAAAAAAAAGCACTTTATAAAAACGCCAGCTGAAAAAAGCACCTTTAAAAGCTTTTAAAAACGAAATCCCCCAAAAAGCAACTTTAAGTACTTTTTACAAACGCTACGCACCCTGAAAGTTCATTTCCATATATTCTTTTTTCGTGTTGGCATCATTACAGATCAATAAAGATGTAAACTTTGTTGCGTGTTTTTCACTTAGTTTTAATTGCTTTCCCTATCTTTAAGTATTAATAACTCATACTTTTTTCCCTCCATCATTCAGTTCGTGTTAATTTGAAATAGGCGTAAGTCAAAACTGTTGTAAAAGTCTCGTTGATTTGAAAAATATATACATTGTATAGATATAATTGGTAAGTATTTTATTTTATTTTTTCCTAGAAAATTTTGACAAATGAAAAAATATGTTATTTCGTGGTGGTGATGTGGTAAATGTGTTACATACATTTCAATAAATATGCATTTTAAAGTATACCCCAGCTAAAAATAAACAGCAGAAAATCTAGGAAAAAAATGCAACTTGAGGACTGTGGTGATTTGGCTTATTCCGCTACAGAGTTTTTGAATTCGAAACACTGCAAAATTACTTTTTTTTTCTTTCCTCGAAGCCCTGAGCATGTACCTAGGTTATGAAAAACCCTTAACCATATAGCCCAGGACTTGGCCACTGGTCCAGCTCCACTCCAGCCTAAATAACATGATATTTAAAATAAAAAGATTTTACTGAAAGTGTGAAATTTAAGAATAAATAGGACCAAAAAAAAATATTATACATGTTAAATGGGAAATTATTAAAATTTTCATACATAGTTATTATCCGCTAAAAAGTTCACTGCTGTTATTAATCTTTTGGTTAACTGCAAAATTACTGCAGTTTGTAAACTGCAATAATTCTGCAGCAGTACCCATTTCATACTTTTTACAGTTGATATACAAAATGTCTATATTTAGTGGTGCCATCTATCGTGATTGATAGAAAATACTATAATTTTTGTTAAAACAATTCCTTTTGAAAAGAAGTTTTTGATAAAAAAAAATTTTTATCTTAATCTTTTTTCTATTTAAGTCTTTACTTATTGCTAAAGAGTGTTTTTTATGAAAAATAAGTTTAATTTTTAAAAGCAAGGAGCTCGAAACGAATTTTAAGCAGTTTTATAAATCTTATGCTCATTTAGGTTCAATTAAAAATACTATGAGTTATTTTTTTTTTCAAAAAAAATTATTTGTTTAATTTATAAAGCTTTATTTTCAAGCAATAAAAATGGGTATACCTATTGTTTTAAATTGTCTAAATTTGCTTAAGACAAATTTTTGAAGCAGAGTGAAATTAATGCATTTTTGAAGGAGAGGTTTGAAGCTGGAATTAAATATCCATTTTCAAATTCAATTTGTAAACTCTTTTGATATAAATTTGTTTAAAATCCAAACTAAACATATGTTTCGATTAGACAAAATAAGTATAATTTTTGTCCTGCAATAATCCTAGCTTAGTATGAATTCGAATAAAAAAATTAACTAATTAATATTGTTTTTACTATATTTATTGTTATTGTTTACTAAGCTTTTAATATTGATTTTACTATAAACTTTGCGCATACAAAGTTTTCTTAAGTCAAAAAGCAATAATTAATTAAAATAAAAATAGTAATAAAATTAGTACTAAAATTATGAAATATTTAAATACCTAATTTTAAACTTATTTTAATACCTAATTTTAGACAATCAAGAATGTATATTATATAAATCTTAACTTTTTACTCTATGTCACATTAAATTAATTTTAGTACATACTTTAGTTTTTAATTGATCTTACATATATTTCTTTCAGCTCATAGTAAAATGAGTTGTGCAAGCAAGAAAAAAATTCGTCAGTATTCGGAGGAATATTTAAAATTTGGGTTCATACCCGCTGTCCACGATGAGCGGTTTCCTTTTTGTCTTTTATGCCAGCAATGCTTGACCAACGAATCAATGAAACGAGGTCGTCTTGAGGCGCATTTGAAGGCAAAACATAATGCTCATATTAATTCAGATTTGAATTACTTTCAAACTTTAAAGAAAAATTTTGAAAAGAGGACAACAGTAAAATCCCTATTTACTGCACACACATCAACTCATAATCGTATTCTTGAAGCTAGTTATCAAATTTCTTTATTCATCGCTAAATCTGGAAAAAATCATACCATAGGAGAGAATTTAATAAAACCGTCAATATCAGCATTTCTTAAAACGGTTCTTGAAAAAGATGACAAAGATGTAAAAGCTATGCCACTCAGTAACAATACTGTTAGCAGAAGAATAGATGAAATGAGTGAAGATATTGAAAAACAACTTGTTGAAAAGCTGAAAACAGGAAAATTTTCATTGCAAATGGATGAATCAACTTTGATGGACAGTGTGGCAGTATTGATAACTTACGTAAGATATATTGATAAAGGGCATTTTGCGGAGGAAATGTTGTTCTGTAAAAGATTAGAAAGCACCACTACCTCCAAAGATATATATAATAAGCTAAAAAACTACTTAGATGTCAATAATATACCAATGAAAAATATAACATCTTGTGCTGCAGATGGTGCTCCTAATATGATGGGCAAGAAAAATGGCTGCTTAAAATTGATGAAAGATGAGAATCCAGAAATGATTCTTGTGCATTGTGTTATCCATAGGGAAAACTTGGTAGCTAAAAACATCTCGCCTGTTCTAAATGAAATACTACATTCAGTAATAAAGTGTATCAATGCTATTAAAGCTAATGCCAAATGTGAGCGTCTCTTCAAGCTATTTTGTGAAGAACAAAATGAAGACCATGTGAGACTTTTACTTCACACTGAAGTAAGATGGCTTTCTAAAGGGAACTGCTTGAAAAGATTTATGGAGCTGTTTGATACTCTTAGTGATTTTTTAAGCGACAAACCTGAAATGAAGTGTCTGTTAACAGTCGATGGCAAAGCATTTGTGAGTTATTTAGCCAATATTTTTGAAAAACTAAATATATTAAATAAGCAACTTCAAGGCACAAATAAAACTCTTGTTGATGCAAAAGCGAAGATATTTGGTTTCGTTACCCTTATTGAATTATGTCAGAAATCTATTAAAAAAAAAAACTTTGAACAGTTTCATTGGCTCCAAAAATGTGAAGTAAACGATACAGCTTTACTTGTTATTGTCGATCATCTGAAAATTCTATCGGCTGATTTAAAAGAAAGATTTTCTGATTTAAAACAAATTGATTTTCCAACATGGATGATGCAGCCAATGTTAGTGGATTTGTCTGATATATCAAATATGCGGTATCAGGAAGAACTCGCAGAAATGCAAAATGATGAGTCCGTAAAAGCGTTATTTAATATAAAAGGAGTGATGGCATGGCTTTCTGAAGAAACAGAAATCAAATACCCACATTCAACCAAATATACAAGAAAATTATTGTTACCATTTCCATCTTCATATTTAGCTGAATGTGGGTTCAGTGCTATAAATGATTTACTGGTAAAAAAAAGAAATCGACTGGATATAACACAACGAGGAGACTTGAGACTGAGGCTAACCAAGTTGGAACCCAACATAAAATCTTTGTGCAGCAAGCATCAAGCTCAAGGATCTCACTAAATTAAAATATTATAGAAAAATCTTTATTAAAATTAATTTCGAATTTTTTTTTCATTATATGTTTTGAAAATTTACTTATTGTATTTCGTTAACAATTTCCTAGTGATTTTTCCTTAAAATCTACCATTTAAGTTTCTTAAGTGAACAATTAAATTTTTTAATATTAAAAATTATGTATATTTTACGAAGGGGGGGCATAAGAATTTTAGAAAGGCTTAGGTGGGGCATGGCACAAAAAAGGTTGGGAAACACTGCCTTAGATCGTCATTAGAGGTACACTTTCTGCACAGCGGTACGTCGACGACATCCTAAGACCTGTTTTGCTACCGCTATTTCCGCAGCTCCCTGGGATGGTTTTTCAGCAGGACAATGCCTGACCACATACGGCACGTGTTGCTATGAGCTGTCTGCAAGCTTGTCAAACTCTTCCTTGGCCTGCCAGATCACCAGATCTCTCTCCCATTGAGCATGTCTGAGATATGATGGGAAGGCGATTGCATCTGGCACGGAATGTTGATGACCTCGTTCGACAATTGGATTGAATTTGGCAGGAAATGCCGCAAGAGACCATCCGGGAGCTTTATCGGTCTATGCCACGCCGTGTGGCAGCTTGTATCCAGGCTAGAGGCGGGTCAACACCTTATTGAACTTGTTACTGTAACTCTGCAATAAATTATTCAATTGTTCTGAAATTGTTTTCATTTACTATTCTGTACATTGTCTTCTCTTCCACCAATTTTCGTTTCAATCGGACAACTCCTTGGTGCGTTGATTTTTTTGTTATAGAGTGTATATACAAATAATTAAAATAAGCCGAATTACGGTTTGCTTCGAAATGAAAATTTGAAAGAACTACTATAAATGTTGAAAATGAGTATTAGGAAAAGGCATTTCTTTATTGAAGAATTAAAGTAATAAAGAATTATTAAATTATTTTGATTTGAAAAGCATAATTTTTTCAATATATTGTTATTAGAAATAAAGGCGAACATTTATTTAACGAAGTCGTTAAATCCCGCAAAAAAGTTCGCTACATGGAAAATTCGTTAAATAGAAAATCACCATTTGAAATACTTAAACAAAACAAAACACGTTTTTAATTCATAAACACTAGACATAATTAAAATAGCAATTGATACACCTTAATCTTGTAAATTATTATCGACTATTGAATTGTTTCAAATGATTTTATCATATGAAGGTTTGGTGATTTCTTCATTTCCGTTTTCATCTTCTTCGCCTTCCTCAAAATTAATTGCTGTATTGTTTTTATTTTTCACACTGTCCAAAATATTTGATTCAGTTAATGTTTCTGTGGTTGCAGCTTCAGAATCAATATAAATAAAATCATTAATCAATTCACACCATTGTTAATTTTGCGGTCCTCTCTTAGCTGCACTCACATTTTCTTAAGTTCTTTTAAAGGAATATCATCCTTGTCTTCCACGCTGACTAAGAATCCAGTTATGAATAGTACGATCTGTAACATAATAGTTCTATACTTTAGAAATTTCTGTTATTCTTTCTCGTAGACTGTTTTTTGGCATGAATTCCTGTATGAAATGTAAACAAAAAGGTTACTGCTTTGTCTACAGATTAAGTGGCTGCGGAAATCAATTCGCAAAATGTGTTAACAAGTTTGAAATATTCTAAAATATTTTGAGAAATAAAGAAAGTGGATCTTAAATAAAAGTGCGCTAAATAGAAAATTTACTTTTCAATTTGGGAATTATTTTACATAGAAATTTCCTAAATGTTCTTGGTTCCGCGAAAAAAAATCGCAAAATAGAGAATTTCGCAAAATGGAAGTCCGACTGTATTATATTTTCCTTTAAAAAATGCTATTTATAATTTCACAAAAGCAACCGATAAAAATTATGAATTATAGGTTGAAATCTAAATATCAGGTTGAGTAAAAAGTTTTCCGCCAAAGGGAAATACCTCCGTGCCAGCAGCAGCCATTGCCGTGGTGGTTAACTTTTTTTGAAACGGGCTTTTGTATTTTAAAGCAGAAAGTTGGAACTACACAACTGTGTAATTTTTTTGTCAAAACTTTATCATCTTGTGCACCAAAATTTTTTTTTAAATGGAGCTATCACGTTAACAGATCAGACCCATTATGTACTATGAGTTCCGAAATAAACTAAGTGTAACTGAATGCCACAAGAAAATGTGTAAAATTTTAGGTTTCAATACTGTTTCTTATGAGGATACAGTAAAAGTTTGGTTTCGAAAGTTTAATACTGGGAATTTCAAGATTGAAGATGAACCACGTTCTGGCCGCCCTATTGAGGTTGATTGTGACCATTTAAAGCAAATTATTGTTCAAGACAGAAATTTTTCAACACGAACTATTGCGTTAGAGCTTGACATTTGCCAAAAAACAATAGCAAATACTCTCAAACGCATAAATCTAACAGTTAAGTTTAACCGTTGAGTGACTCGCGAATTGACTGCTGAAGACAAGAGCAAGAGAAAAGCGGCCTGTTTGGTTCTGCTCAGAGATCAAAGAAAAGAGGACGTTCTGGACAGAATTGTGACCTGTGATGAAAAATGGGTATACTACAACAATACTAGCCGTAAAGGAGGGTGGTCAGCACCCGGGGAATCAGCAGGTTCGGTTGCAAGACGAACGCTAACTAACAAGAAGGTCCTTCTCTGTATCTGGTGGGATTGTCGTGGAATTATCTACAAGGAGTACCTGAAAAGCGGGTAGGCTATCAACAGTACAATATACAGCAATATGCTAATCAAAGTTAGCGATGCGATTCGCGAAAAACGAGAAAACGAGCTCAGAAGGAAGGTGATTCTCTTTCATCAAGATAACGCTTGGCCACATGTTAGTGCAATGACCGGCATGACGCTCCACACGTTAGAGTGGGATTTGATGCAACATCCACCATACAGCACAGACATGGCGCCTTCGGATTACTATCTGTTTTCAAATCTGCAGCTGCATCTTGATGGCACAATCTTCCGTTCAAATGACGAGGTCATAAATGAGGTCGATTGCTTTCTCTACTCGCGCACCCCCCAGTTCTTCGCAGAAGGGAATGAAAAGTTGCCAAAACGTTGGCAGACTATTGTTGATTTGAATGGAGATAACTATTCTCATTAGCTTTGCTGATTTTGTATGTGTTTGTCATTTTTCAGGATTTTTTTTTTTTGGCGGAAAACTTTTTACTCAACCCGATATAATTGGTTGCTTCAAAACTCATCACTGGTTGCAAAAAAAAAAAAAAAAAACTAGCAGATCCCTAGGGTTTTGTGGAACACTATTTGGGAACCTCTAGATCAGAGCGTCAAAAAAAAAAAAAAATACATAAAAAGACACCAGTGTCCAATCTGCGTCAAAATGTTAGAGATAAATTAATTTTTCGTATCAAGTTTGTTTCTAACTTCCACCCCGAGTTTCTTGTTTATTTTTTTTAACCCTTTAATTTTGACATTTTCTCATTGTCTTCATCCTCAGAGCCCTGAAATATTTGTAAGTTTTTAAGTTGTTTACTTGCAGGCACGAATTAAAAAAAAAACCTTCCGGCCAAAATCAATTCTTCAGGAACATATTAGCAAGCTGCTTCCCTTTTCGAGTAATCACTACAGATATGTTTCCGTTAATTAGCGTTTTATCGTATGTAATTAAAAAACAGAGGGTATATATATATAGATGCATGAAAAACACTCGTTCTTCAAGTGCTGAACTTTGATTTATATTTTTTATTCCTATCAATATTTTTTTTAAAATGTTGAAATTGGGTTTTCTTCTTCTTTTTATGATTGGAGGTAAAAATTTATATGTTTAATATATTTCATACGTATATTTATCATGTAACATAAAGAAATTGAATAAATGCATAATTAGAATTAAAATGTATAATTTGTGTAAACGTTTTAAGAGTATCTGTTGGATAACACATGAAGTTAAATATATGTATTTATTTGATAACATATTAGATAACATACGGAAGTTACCTGTGTGTATCTATTACCGTTGAAGTGTGAAGTTCGCTATTTCATAGAATAACTATAGGTATTTCATGAAATAACTAGACGAGTCAGATAAAGTACATAAAATTATTGAATTTTACGATTTAACTAGGTGTTTTATAGAATAACGATTACTTGATTATTAAAGTATGAAACACGGAAGTCGAAAGTTCTTTAAACTGGTTCTAGCTGCTTTTCGTCAGTTTTGCAGCTGCTTTGCAGTGATGTGTGTGTGTGTGTGTGTGTGTGTGTGTGCACGCTTCATTCCGTTGCTTTTAGACGTAATTATTAATATGAGCAAGAATAAATCATCATCTGCTTTTTCCTATTATTCATCAATTAATCATGCGCAATTGGGATAAAATATATTTTTTGAGAGTTTATAACTACTTATGATCAATTAATTTATAAAATAAGTTTGAAATTGTTTATTTTCCCCTTTAACAGTCTATCATCAATTATTTTTTATAATAACTAGTTATTTCATAGAATAATTATAATTATTTTTTAGAATAACTAGTTATTTCATAGAATAACTATAATTATTTTGTAGAATAACTAGGTAAAATATTAAATTTTTCATGTATTATGTACTTTATCTGGTTTGCCTAGTCATTTCATGAAATGCCAAGTTATTCTATGAAATAACTGAATTATATACTTTAACGGTAACATATCTATTAGATAACATATATAAAATAAACTTATATAATTTGAATCAAAATGTACATTTGATTTATGTGTTTTATACGCATCTATTATAAAACATGCGTAATTGTGATGGCATGTCTTCGGATCATCCTAAAGGATGTTTCCCAGACCGTCGCCAATAGCCCATTGTGCAGCTCTAGTGCGACGTAAATTAACAACAACAACAACAATAAAACATGCGTAAATGAACTTTCTTTGCTTGAGATATTTTATTCGTATCTAATAAAATGACATAAGTAAATTTCACGCGTGAATAAGTGAAAACAAAATGCATAATTATTTTAAATGGTTTATACCAAAATATTAGATGGCGTAGTTAGTTTGATTATTCTCTTAATATATATGCTATTTATAAGTTTAAAAAAATGCTTTCTTTCTTATTATTAATATACAGAATTTTATTATTTTTTAGGTTCTTTTGCCTTTTTGGTATCAATATGCGACTTCAAAAAGTGCCATAAATTAGCAACCGAACATTCTCTGTTTGATATAGAAAATGTATTGCCTACAGCAGAACGTTTGGTGTCAATGTGCCCGTAAGTATGCACACTAATGTACACATTTCCTGACATTTATTAAATTCTCATTTCAATTATTCAAAAGCAGTGTTTCCCAAACTTATGACTTTTGTGTACCCTTTCTAAATGTTTCGTAACGCTGTGTACCACTGATAAAAAAAATGAATGCATTTCTTTAAAAATATGTTTATTTTTCTTTTTCGGTACAAAGTTTTGATAATAAGTTTATTTGCATCAGTGAGAAGGATGATATTGTTTTTGCTGTGCTAAAGAAAATTGCGCAAAAGTTAAAAATCACAACTGGCTGTTGACACTACTAATTATTAACGGTTAACCCGGAAAAAAATAGCCAATACAAAAATACTTTCATGGCTAGCTTTGTTTTTAAATAAAATATTTTGAAATTTTCGTTTGTTGTAAGATATTTCGGCATAAGAACGCGTACCCCCGCTAAACTGTTCCCGTACCCTTGGGGGTGCGCGTACCACACTTTGGGAAACACTGTTCTAAAGGGATATTGTAACATAAAAAAAAATTCAAAAATGACGAAATTTAAGAAATTACTACTCGTTTGAACAATGTGAAATTTAAAGGGAATAAGGTTTAAATCAGCTAAGATCTAATCGGGTGATGATTTTAAACAAAACCGCAGATTTTTTTAAAACTAATAATAACAAAGTCGCCATAATCATACTACATTAATATCCACATTAGCAATCAAAATAGCTTTGTTTATATTTAAATGTTTTCAAAAAATTTATAAATATCAAAATCTTTAGATTTCTTTCACGTTAGCTTTTCACGTACAAGTACGTCAACAGCTGGTTGTGTCCAAAGTGATTGAATAGCTTCCGACTTTTGATAGTATAGCGTTGCTATGGTAAATGTATTAGGAAAAATATTAATAAATTAATTTTCATGCCTCGAATCACTATTAATACGGGTAAAATCGGTAAAAAAACCTTTATTTATGATGATTTAAGAGTTTCTGACTCATGGTAATAAAAAGCTGCTCTCAACAGATGTATGTAGTTAGAAAATAATGAAAAGATCAACACATATACCACACAAGACTTTTAGTACGCACGTAACTGGTTAGAACCCGTTGGAGGTGATTACAAAAGTTTGTGACTCTTGATACTATATCACAGGTGTATGTAGTTATTAAAATCCTTAAAAGATCTTAACGTATGTCTAGCGACACTAATAGTGCGCCTATCGCCAGTTGGAATGTCTATGATGATATACAAGTTTCACACTCGTGTTGATATAAAATCTACTATCAGCAGATGCATGTATTTACAAAATTCTTGAAAGATCTGTACCTGTGACAGGCAATTCTATATCAATGATTTTATTTTATTTTATAACCGTCGTTGAACAGCCGACCCATTTTCATGGGTTTACGACTACTTACGTTCAACTCCGTAGCCTTGTAATTTTGAACCAATCCAGAAGACAAGGAAACTCCTGGATCAGTACCCCCAGAGGTATTGATTTGTTGTGGGAACATGGAGGACTTTGAGACTCGACAGATTTAATGTGCATCAGTCACCATTTACTACACGGCAAGTCTTCGGTCGGCGAGGATCGAACCCACGACCTCTTGGACATGGGCCCAGCGCTTTACCGACCAGGCTTACCCGGCCCTTATATCAATGATTGAAATTATTTTAAAAGTACCTGACTCGTGATGATCAAGAACAAGATGATTAAAAGATTTTTACGTAGCTGTACGACTATTAGTGCGCATGCTGGCTTTTTTATGATGATTTTAAATATTTCTGACTCGTGATGATCAAATACAAGCGTATGTAGTTATAAAAATCATTAAAAGATCTTTACGTATACCTCGCAGGACTAATAATGCGTATAACAGCGGTTGGAACGTTTGCTTACGATGATGTTAAAAGTTTCGTTCTCGGGATGATCTCAGAAAATTCTTAAAATATTTTTACTAATGGCCCACACCACTATTCGTACGCATATTACAGGTTGAAACTTGACTGATTTGAGGAGATAATTTTAAAAGTTTTGGACTCGGGATCACAAAACGCGACTATTTGCCAATGGATTGTATGTATTGTAATTGGAAACTCCTTGATAGATCAATAATATGTCATTACAGATCTATTAAAGAAGTGATGCAGTGTGAAATGCAGGAATGGAATAATTGTTTAGGAGAAGATCTTCACGATTTTTTGAATTCAGACAATGAAACAATACGAGCAGCGGTGAATGTCTATTTGGGAATTGCAGGGCTCCTTACGGATATGTGCGATAATACCACGCCTTTCCATAGAGGTAGGTTTTACTTAAATCACATTTTGAAAAAAATAACTATGGTATTTAATAATTTAATTATTTAATATTTGAATTTTTTCATAAGCCATTAAAGGAATAGTCGCTTGTTTTTTCAGCTTTAAGTATGACTTCTTAGACGTAAATTCCAGTCATGCAAGTTTTTCTGCTCATAGGAATCATCAAACAGCTTAACTTAAAGGAATAATACTGTAAACGGATTAGTAAAAATTGCCTCACTGTGATGATATTAAATAAAACTAATTTTTTATTATTTTTATTTTATTTTGCGCGCTATTGGTTTAAATATATTTCCTGTCATTAACATATACCTTTGATCTTTATCGAATACTTTGCATGCTTGGCGACAATGTAGAGATGATTGTTAGTTTGAACAACAATTTCTGTTGCAATTTGTTAAAGTAATTTTATTGTGATTGAAAATAGAGTTAAAAATCAATTTAATAAAATGCCGTATTTTAACATGAAACTAAAACTTTTTTTACTGTAAGAAATGCTTTCTAGAATGTGTTTGCCATTAGTTTGTTGTTCGCGAGCAGATTTGACGAATTTAAGGGAAGAAAACATATTTTTAGCAATTTGGGACACATTGAGATAAATTGCAACATGCTTAGAGTTTGACTAATAATGTGAAAAGTCTCAATTTCCCTAACTTTTGAGTAATCATAAAACATCAATCCTAACACTATCTTCACCAACACTTTCAGAAAAATCAACTCAACATAATTTTTATAATGAGCGATGAGCAACTGATCTATTTTTGGATTTACGGATATTAATGTTCAACTCGGAAGCCTTGTAATTTTGAACCCAACCTAGAAGACAAGAGAATTCCTGGATCAAGTATTTTTTCCCCATGTAACCGTAGTTGAACAATCGACCCAATTTCATGGGTTTACGACTACTAATGTTCAACTCCGTAGCCTTGTAATTTTGAACCCAATCCAGAAGACAGGGGAACTCTTGGATCGAGTATTGGAAGAAATTTGCCTTCGTAAAGGACTTTTTGATTGAGCTAACCCGCATTTGCGTTACATGGAGAGGAAGACCACTCACTAGAACCTCCCACGGTTAGCCGGACGGCAAGGGGACTCTAACCCATAATCCGTCTACCACTGAGGATGTTTCTCTTCGGCACTGTGGTCGGTGCAAGCCAGATGCGGAATTCATTTCGACTGGGATTCGAACCCGGTTCGCCTCATTGGAATGCTCTATCCCCTGAGTCATCGCTGCTCAGGATCAAGTATTTGGATAATCTAGGAATCGTTGAGGACTTTTGATGGGACGTGGGGGAAAAAATCTTTACTACCTTCCATAGTTAGTCAGAAGGCAAGCCCCTAATTTATCTTCCACTGGAAATATTTTAGTCAGTGCAGTGGTCCTGTGCGAACTGGCAGCAGAATTCATACAGACATGTCATAGCAGGGATTCGAACCTGGTTGCCTCATTGGGATTTCAAGCACTTTATCGAACTGCAATTAAGTATTATTTAGTATTAAGAAGTATATGATAACTTGGTTCAACCCAGCACCCTTATTAAATTCGAAATTAATTTAAATGTCTGCAAAATTCTGAACCGTAAAGCGTAAGTTAAAAAAAAAAAATACCTTCAAAAGTCTATATTAAATTTAACTAATCATTAAAAAAATGTCGCTTATAATACAATGCTTTTTCTTATAATGAATATTTATTACATATTCTTCACTAATTTATTTTGTAATGTTTTCAAACAACAAAAAATAAAAGACAAAAAAGGTTTTAAATTGCGTAAATTAAATTCGCAAACATTTGCAGCAAAAATTCTTTTGAAATAAAAATACTTCTAAAATTCCAAACAAGTGAGAATAATAGAATTTAATGAATCAAATAATCTGAAGAAAAAAACTGAAAACAATTGGGTAATTGTTTTAATTGACACTTTTATAATCAAATTTATCAGTCGATACAAATGAAACAGTTTAAGGAGTTCCTTACTTAGAAAGCTTTTCAATTTAGAAAATGATTGAAATTCAAAAGGAATCTAAACTTCCAATCTAAACAATAAATAAGGAAGAAAAAATGAATACTTGGAGTATTCAAAGCGCAAGCTCTACAAATAAAGAGGAAGTGAATTAAATTAATCGCATTTAAGTTTCTAAATAAGTCCGCCGGAAAAACATATTTAAAGGAACTGAAAAAATGCATTAAATGTGTTTAATTTATTGGAAAATGGATGAAATGCTTTGCAGCATCACTATTAATCAAAACGGGACGGTTTTATTCCGTCCATAGAAAATTAATATTTTATACATTTTAAAGATAAAATTGATAGCTAAAGTTTTCTGCAATGACAGTGTGTCGGTGGTTTCTGTAAAATCGCTCCTTATTTCACATCTTCGGCATAACTTTTTGATTATCATTTAATTTTAATAATCTTTTTTTAATATTGCTGTAGGTTGGGTGATTATTTATTAAGAATATTATTTATTATTAAAGAAAATTAGTTATTAGATTAGATTAAGGATTTGGAAGATTATTTATTATTAAAAAATAAGAAATACTTGTAGGGCCGAGATAGCCCGGTTGGCAGGGCGCTTTACTCACGCTCGTGAGAACGCGAGTTCGAATCCAGCCAACCGAAGACTCCTCGTGTAGTAAATGGTGACTGGTGCACGTTAGATCTGTCGGGTCACAAAGTCTTCCAACAAATTATACCTCTGGGGGCACTGAATTGTAGATTGATCGTTCTCTGGTTCAAGTCAAAATTATGATCTGTGGATGAATGAATGAATGGGTTCGCCCTATTAAGGGGTTTGACGTATGGGTGCGGCAAACGTACAATTCTTGGCCATAGCCAGAAATTTTTATATTTTCACCCATTGGCGAAATGGGTCTTGATTTGGATCTGATGGCGCCATCACACTTTTCAACTACAATAAGTAAGGGTAATAGTAAACAGTAAGCATGCGTCGTCATTGTATGCGTTGCTATGGCGACCGCTGCTGTTTGATACTTTTTTTTTAGAATTCTTTTAACTTTTAATTTTGTTATGCATTAAGCTGATGAGTTTATTTTTGAGATATGGGACCAGAGAGATCCCATAAATACTTCTTGAGTTTTGAATAAAAGAGAATTTCATCATTTGAACGATATTTATGATTTTATTGTTTTAATTACGAATCAGAAATTCTAACCTACAGTTCAAACTGGATCATTTTAAGTACTAATTCAGTTCAATAACACAAATAAAGAGCGTCGAAACTGATTGACATGGTCCCAAAAGTTAAAGCAAGAAAACACGATGCCAAGACCTAAACTTACCGAGGCTGAAAAAGCCAAAGAACGTAGACGGGAAGCGTATTGACAAAACATACCGTAGATTGTAAACGTGGCGATTGCAGGTGGAGTTGGCGATGGATTACGCGTAAATGTGGTGGGAGAACGAAATTACATTAACCTAAGCAGTGTAATTCGATATTTTCTTCTTCTCCTCGACTAGCCATTATGAATAAAAATAACTCATTAATTCCTTTTAGCAGAGAAAATAAAAAAGAAAATAACACCTTTTTATTGTCAGGATCACTTTACAAATACACTGTATTCATATTTTATTAAGCGCTATAATTTATATTTTATAAAACGATCTAGTTTTTTGATAAAACAGATTCAATTTTTTAATTTTTTTTACAAGAATTGTGTTTGCGAAGAAATAAAAATAATTTATTAATGAACCAATCACAAAAAATAACGTAACATTTTAATACTATGTTTTATTGAAACGCTATTTTGAAGAATTAATTCTATTTAACTTTTATTGTAAGAAAACATAACCTGTTTTATTTTAGTGATATTTTCTATGAAATCAATATTCTCTATAAAAGAATAATGTAAGCTTTTTTATAAAGATTATTTTTTTAGAAATTAACAAAGACATATTATTTACTAGAAAAAAAATAGAGTATTCAAAAATGTTATCACGCTTTAAAGTAATAGTTTCTTGTAAACGAAATAATCAATATTTTTAAAATAAAGTTTGAAAGCGTTTGTTTCATTACTAGAAGCATTCATTATAAAAAAATATATATTAAATTACTTTTTTGCATAATTTTATGAAATAACTTTTTTTTGGAATGAGATGAGATTTTAAACTTTGTGAAAAATTGATTCAATTCCTTAATATATATAAAAGTCGGTAAATACTTCATTCATTATGGAGGTCATAGATAACTTGATACCTTTTCAATATAAGAATAATAAATGCAATTAATAGAAAATGCAC